AGCATGTAAGCAATTTGGCGAGCGACGGGACGAGACGAGCGACAGCGACGAGACAAGCGACGACGACCCGTTTCGCTGTCGCTCGGTCACTCGCGCGACGTGGCAAACCGCATGAAAGCGACGGGAGCATGCGACCAAGGCGATAAGCGACCCTTTCTAGAAATCCAAAAGCCAAGCGACGCGACGACCGACCGCGAGAAATCTCCGTCGCTCGTCGCCGACCCCCGTCGCTCGTCGCCGACTCCCGTCGCTGTCGCCATCGCTCGCTAAATCGCTTACATGCGGTTCACCCTTCACTGTCACTCGTCGCGTAGCTCGGTTTTGGGATTTCTAGAAAACTTAGCGCTCCTCGCCTTGGTCGTGTCCTCCCGTCGCTTTCATGCGGTTTGCCTCGTCGCGCGAGTGACCGAGCGGCAGCGAAGCGGGTCGCCGTCGCTTGTCTCCCCGCGCGCCAAATCGCTTACATGCGGTTTTTAAATCGCTTGGGCTAATGAAAATGCGCCGCATTTTTTATAAGCTGCGCACCCTGTGAGCCGCACGGTATGTTTCTGCACAGGAACGAACACCGAAGGCACGACGTATGTACGACACAGCGGCGATGGAGCTACACGGTTACACGGCCGTAGTACAGAAAATCAGCTAGAGAAAAACAATAATGAAACTAGCAAAACATAACAAAGAGTAATCACACCGTGCTGCAAAAGCACCCAAGTAGAAAAATTAGTTCTTGCAAGAGCTACCGCCGTCGGCACGGCGGGCGACACGGAGCGCTTCATGGAGCCGAGGGAGCAACGCGGCCGCGGTAAACGAGTCCGATTGCGACAAAAACAAACTAAAACACACAAAACATACTCCCACAACGCTTCAGAAGTACCAAAGTATAAGAATAACCCGTAGTTTCGATCAAAAAGACCCTTTAAGGTTGTAAAATACTGCTAAACCACGCTCAAAAGGTCCGGCCAGATGGCATTCGCGATAGCAAGAGACCTCGAAGATGGCGACCGCGGTGGGCGATGGCAGCGAACCTAGCGAGTGACGTCAAGTGAATGTCACCTATACGTTGTGCCAAACTGTGTGTGAACTCGACAACCAATCAAAAACTACGATCATGTTACAAAAAATAACTGATATCTAAGTGAAAAACGAAATGACAGAGGTATGCGCCATAGAATGGAGGTACAAATATGTTCTTTTCAAACGTACTGGTTAATATGACGAAACCATATCTGTCAAAGATATGTTATTGCATTTATAAGAATACATAAAAAACTCTCTAAAAAAGATTGGGGAAAAATACGTACTTTCTTAAAATGATGTTGAAATTTGTATTTCTAGATTTTCTCATCATGTTTGCAGTGTTTCTCCTAAATATACACTATACTTCAATTAACAATATTATATTTTTAGATAGGGTTAGATTCAAGCTTTTACTTTGATATGTTTTCTTATGCCTTAAATAATTGTACATCGAAAGCTAGCTCGATTCAAACTTGGCCCATTATTGTCAAAGGTGCCAAATTCAGTTTTTTTTTTCTTTATTTTATATAAAAAATGCACTTTTAGAGAATGTTAAACCTTCTATACGAAGTATAATGCAGTAAAAAAGTAATTGTTGTGAGTAATATAACCTAACGTTGTGAGACTCCAAAATGTGTCACTCCTTTCGCAGCCCAGAACTCAAGAACAAAATATTTCCGTAGTTATTAATTTGCAGTTTTGTTCTAGTCACAGATTATCCACCAACATATAGATTTTCCAGAATTTTTTGGTGACCCATCACTTTTTCTTGCACGATGCGAGATGAAATCACCAAAAAATAAACAGGGGATGAAAAAGACTCAAAAGTCGCAACGGATTAGGGTGCATCAAAAAGTATACGGTTCATTAAAGTATCAAATAATGCACTATACGACTCCGAAAAAAAAAAAAAATACCGAGCAAAACCCTTGTCAAAATCTTGACATCTTTTAAGAGACGAATTTGGGGGATTTTATGGTACACAGTAAAAGACTTAATTTTCGCGAAGACGTAACTTCCGGTTACCGGATACATAGCTCACCACCCCTAATCTCAAAATTTTGTAACCGCGAAACGTTCCCAAGCCCACACTTCAACAAACTCGCGTAACGACGAGCCCGTAAAAATAAAGTTATTTACAGAATAAGATTTTCAAAATGACTTTTACGCCGTTGAATACGCCATATTTAGTACTGCAGGTTCATCGTTTCTGAAAGTCGCCGGTTCAGGAGGTCCTGCTATGAAAATACGCGAACTCGTCTTCAAGTGAGCGCAGAAACTTCCTCGACCACTTGAGATCATTCAGGTGCAATGGTCTAGAGTGGTTGGAGTAGCGAGAGTGCTGGTAAGGGGAATACAAATAAAGGGAAGAAAATAAAAGACAAGGACGAACAGGACGTTCCCCAACCTTGACGTAGAAAATATTGTTCAGAGTTTGGATGGACATCCGGTTTCGCATGTCTCTTTTTGTGAGTGCGACCTGCAGGTCGCACTCACAAGAAACGTCTTGTCCGTCCTTATCTTTTATGTTCTCCCCTTGATTTATATCTACAATTGGTTCCCCCAAAGTCTCTTTTATCCCTATTGTGGCGTATCTCTTGGCCTCCAAGTTAGTTCTATGAGGCTTTCTCCTTCACCTTCCTAATCCGTGCCTGGTTTCATCCGCAGAATCCTCGAAAAAACCCTGTTTTGTGCCAGGTTGCGCCAGTTATTTCTAAAAAGGTGGAAATAACTAGCGTAGAAGAGTGTAAGGCTATGTTGGGAACCTACGTTTGTTTTGACTTTGTATTAGCGTGCTTCTGTAGATCTGAGCTCACTCATTACTCCTGAAACATTGAGGAATAATTTTCGAACAGCTGCACGTTGCGCAGCCCAGCTAAACATTTCGTGATGAAAAAAATAATAATATAGAGGAAACACGGAATCAACCAAAAACAAGAAGGAAAGAAGAAGAAAAAAAAAAGGCGGTAGGGGGGGGGGGGAAAGAAAAAAGTGACACCATCACGCAGTCATCAGACGGAACACAAAACGGGACGAAGATTCTTCTTCAAGCGAAGGCTTGTAGAAGGATCCACAAGCCCTCGCCATCGCACATTAAAAAAAAAGAATAGATATATATATATATACATATATATCGAAACCCGCCACGCACCACTTCCGACCCGAAATTCGACCTAGACGGGAGCGGGGAACCGCCGAAAAACAGCCGAGGGCCAGTAAAGTTTCAACCAAACAACCAGCCGTGCCGCTCCAAACCAACATGCGCAACAACCGACTCTACGAAAAGAAAACAAAAGGAGGGATGCAAAGACCAGCCAAAAGAAGAGCAAACACCGGAGGAAACGGGAGGGCGACCGAAAAGCCCCAACGCTGTCACCAAGGCAGGCGAACCGAGAGAGAAAGCCGTGCTGCGAGACTCCAGGAACCACATTCCGAGAACCGACTTCCCCACCCTCGGAACGAGCGGCTGGCCAGGCTGGCTCCCTCCACGCGCGCTCCCCCCAGCACAGTCGGCCGCAGAAATCGCTCACTGGCCCTGCTATCTTATCTGCTCGCGCGGGCTGCCCGGTCGCCCCCTCGTCGGGGCTCTGGCGGGCGACAACGAGCCACCAAGGGCTTCGCGCTGCTCAACTGGGACCGGCTGTATCGTTTTACGACCGACCGGGGAAGTCCTGCTCCTGCGCCAGTCGAGATCGGGACGGACGGCCAGCGGGAATCTGGTAGCCAGCCGTTTACTTACTGACAAATTGCAAGAAGCAGGACTCAAAGGAAAACATCGTAGGAACAAAAAGAATACTAAATAAATAAATAAAAGCAGGCAGGGAGGAGGTCAACAACTTTGGAAGCGCACCAAGCGAACCCCGCCGCAGCAGCTCAGTTTGGCAACGATACAAACGCGTGAGCTGTACAACTCGGATCGAAAAGAAAAACAAAAAGGACAAAACGCACGATCTTTTCGGTGCCGTCTTCCGTACAAGCTCGCTGCGCATTATTAAAGGTACAATTAACTAGGGACCGGTGAAGCGGTAAATGTTTTTCGTCCTTGCCTATCGAACGAACAGAAATCAGTAGGAAGAGCGTAGAAACACCGACGGAGAAACTACGAGATTACGGATATGACAACGAGCTCGTACAAGACCCGGATTCCTGGAAACAGCAGTGCATTGAACAACAACGTGACCCACCAATGGGCCAGACGCACGCAGGATGGGGGTGTAATTAATGTTCGCAGAGAAATTCTGTCTTCACGGTAAAACAACCAATACAACGCGGTCATGCCTCAATTCTCGGTCGAAGCTCGCGACGTCCACGACGGACTTCCGAAACGACACGAAATCGTCGCTGCGAACAGCTGGACCACTTGTTCATAATGAACAGCAAAAGCCCCGGCGATTCAATCCCTACAAACGCAAAAGCGAGATTTCTTGGCTGTCCTACCAATGGCGGGAAAATCTGAACCGGAGATCGACCGCCGGCCCGGAAGATGGCGTAGATCCCCATTTGAAACCCCGAGCGCGTGTCGGTGATTGACCAAACACCTGGGTCCGCACATGTCCCAGATACAGGTGACAGTTGTATCATCACGTTAAGATGAAGAGAAAATGTTTGGGATACGGCGGAGGCAGCAAATGATGGTTGAACCGATACTGGCGCGCAATTTCGAATGTCTCGCGCGAGTGGAACGCTGCAAACGATCGGACCAAGCGCCGCAGTATCGTAGCCCTGGACGACCGTCGGGCAAAGAAGACCGAAAGCAGCGCGTAAACGAGGGACACCCGAGCTGAGAAAAAGCGTGTCCACGATCGATCACGCCGATTACGCGCAGTAATTGAAACCGGGCACGGCAATCCGCCCCGACGGCCGCTCAGCATTGGCGAGGCGAGAGGCGCGCTGCATCATCGGGGTCTGCGACCGGGCGCATATCCATCATCGCGCAGATTCGGGGCCCATTTATCCGGCGGATCCGGGCGCCGGCCACTCACCGAACAGTGCTCCGAAGGCGTCCGCCGGGCGAGGCTTGGGAGAGGCGTAGCCCGCGCTCGGGTGGCCCGGCAGACCGACGATCTTCTCCTGCAAGAACCGGCACAGACCCGAGGTCGGCGTCAGGCCCCTGGGCGGCGGCTGCTGTTGTTCCTGATGCTGTAGCCGGGATATTCCAAAGTCAGCGTGGCACGACGCAGCCAGGCAGGCCGCCGACGTTCTGGCAGCGGCGGCGGCGGCACTCACCTCTTCCCCTTCGGTCACCAAGCTCGACTTGAGGTCCGTCAAGTTCTCCGAGGAGCGCTTCTCTTCCTCGCCTTCGTCTTTGAACACTTTGATCTCGTCCGAGGAGGCCAGGTCGTCCCCGCCGCTGCCATGCGGCATCGTCGTGCGCGACGAGCACGCGCGCGCACACACTCGCGCGGCACCGGGCACGCGGCGACAACCACACAGCACACACACTCGATGTCGACACGAATCTGGGGAAAGCAGGGGCCACAAGCACGCAGGCGACCACGCCGAGTCGCCGCCGAAGCGGGGGACGACGCAGCAGCAGTAGCCCACGAATCCCGCCTTCACCGGCGCCGCCGCCGATCACCGCCACAACAACGCGACATCACCGCACCGCTTCGCTCGCGCAACTCGCCGCCGGAGCAAATCAGAGCGCACGTGCGCCCACCGAAACACCGACGGCCGACCAATGGGAAGGCGGGAGCGCCGCCGGGGGACGCCGGAACCGAGACGCTTCCGCACCGGCGATCGTCGCGCCGCCGCCGCCTTCCGAAACTTGTGGCGCGCGGGCGGCCGTTGCTGCGTCGACGCGCGTTCTCTCGAGTTTGCGGCGAGCCGCTTCGCTTTGCAGACGATGGAGCAACTTTGATTCTCCTGTGCTGCCGCTGCTTCGACGCATTTGCGTTACCGAGCGGCGCGACTTGACGTCGCATTCGCCGCGGCGAGGCGAACATCAACAACGGCAGCACGTGTCGGTCGAGCGCGGCCTTTGTGTGCGCGTCGGGGCGCTGCGAGCGGCGGCGCGGGGAAGGAAGAGGCGCAGCAAGGGTAAACATTCCGGAGCGGCGTGACCGAACGACGGACCGGCCGCCGACGGTTGCCGTCGGCCGGTGCTTTCTCTCTCCCTCGTTATGTGAACGCCCGTGAAAAACGCTAACGAGACGCTGCAGGCGGGGAAGATGTAAAAATGGCCGGGGCGCCGCTGCGTCCGCCACCACCGCCGTGCTCCGAAATTTGACTTCGCGCTTCCGTCGCGTGAACTTTCGACTTGCGTATACATCTGCTTTGTCAAGCTATGGGGTCGTCACGATACAGACAAACCAGAAGGGGAAGTTGTGTTCTTCGGAATTAAAGCTACAACACCGTTAATTTCACTTTGTCACGTGCTGTTTTAATCCGAAACTCCCTTTCTTCTTTCTTTTTTTGGTAGTTGTGGTGGGGATATTTGTCAAGGCACATATTACGGAACAAATAATTAAAAGAAAAAAAAATTAAGTGATAGCATCATAAGGTTGCATGCTTTCCGTTTGTGTGTGAGTGCAGCTAAAAAAAGAAAGGAGACCATGTCAACATATTCTTTACAATAAGACGGCTAATAAAGTGTTTTGGACGATGATGGTTTTCCGCGACTGCTGTAAGCGGATCAGGGAGTGCAATGTTCTTCGCTTATCTGGAATTAACCCATCTCACCAGCCAGTTTCAATGCGCAACGCTGCCGACATGCATCGTGCGAACTGTACCTTTCTGCACGCGCGGCAACCCCGCTGCGGGCTGCACGAGCTGTATCGTGCACTGGCAGCTTCCTCCTGTGAACTGCAGCTATGGCGAAGTCGCGCATACGTGGAACGCTAAGTGCGATTGGTATAGTTCCGTTTGTGCTTTTAGGGTTCTAGCGCGATCCAAAAGCGCTCCATGTTAGCGCCTTTTGTGCGGTAGATGGGAGCGCACGCTTGTACGACCAAGAAGGTACTAATGAAGAAGCGCCTTAAACACCGCTCCAAATCCATACTCACACCAAAAAAGAAACACCCCTTGCTAAGATTTTCTTCCTTTTTTTTTTTTTTTTTTTTTATGTGTGTTGTTTTTTTAACGTCGAGGTGCAAACTTGCGCAGCGCTCGACGCCAATGTTTTTGTTGATGTTACCGGCCTTGCCGCGGCGAGTCGGAAGGCGTTTTTACGCGTCCCGACTTCCCGGCTCGAGCCCCGGTTTTACGGTTTGTTGAACAGACGGGGACTCCCACTATTTTTGGCACGCACCGAGAAGGCTTCGGCACCGTAAACTCTTTCGGGCGCAGTCACAGAACGCCGAAAGACAAATCGAGGAAGCGAGCAGCTGGCGCCATCTATCGAACGTTACCGCAACCAAGACCCAAAACATGAGTCGTCTCCGGTAGCAGACGACACGGAGATTTCTTTTTTCGCAGCTATGAGCAGCTATGAGACCTTCGTCGTGCACCGTAGCTTCAAGCTTTCAACTACGCTTTTTTCTGCCGCACAAGTGACGTCGTAGCTGAGAAATCGCAAGTAAAATCACACCTTATGATTTAGGCACTGAAGCCCGATTCACATGGTGCGAATTCGCTCGACATGTCGCAGCTGCGACGTTGAGCACTTCTGCCGCACGAGCGACGGCGCAACTGCGAAATCGCAAGTAAAATCCCACCATGTAAATCGGGCATTAGGCGGGAACGTATGTTGTGAAAAAAGCACCCGAAAAACGCACGACGTTCGAAACTTTGAAATATACAAAACGCTCCCCCCCCCCCCCCCCCCCCGCAAAAAAATAAAATAAATAAATATATATATATATACCATAGAGTAATATACACAAGGTAAAGAGCGGACACCGCCATAGGCCCCAGCGGCCCAGATAGACCTAGGGAGGCTCAAGTGAGGGTGGGTGCAACTGCTAGATCGGCGATCACGGGACATGGACGCCATTTAATTGCTAAATTTTGCTGGGAGTCTATGGGGCAAAGGGTCGTTTTCTTTCCTAACTCGGGTCATAAAAGCTCATTAAGGTGCTTGAATAATTTACACAAGGTATAAATAATTACTTTTCCATAGCCACCAGTTTTGTTGCGATAGGTTAAGTATTTTTTTAACGCGAAAAATGGTAAATTCCGCCATCTTGGACGTTGCTGCTTGTCTGGCAACGTTGCTTTCTCCGCTCGACGTTTGCAATTCTCGGAGCGAGAAGGAAGCGAGAGAGGCTGCGCCAAGGCGTTCGTTGCTTGCAATGGGAGGTGAGAGGAGGAAAGGCGCATGGAGCAACAGAGTTGCAACAGAGCGGGCGCCTGCTCTCGTGCAGGCAACACTGGCGCATATCCTTTCTCGAATCCTCTCCCTCTGGCGCCGCCATTAAATTGCAAACGCTCTCCAGGTTTTGAGTTGCGCCCACCCTCACTACAGCCTCCCTAGATAGACCAGTGACAGGTAGCGCTCCTAGCGGGCGGTATTAAGTATAATCTAATTCCGTTTCCGGTCAAGTTAGTTTCGGTTTCGGTCTGGGCGTTTCTGCTCTGCTTCTCCGGTACCTTTCTCTCTCTCTTTCCTCCCCGCCTCGCTCGGCTCTAGCTTCTTGACTCCCGAAGCCGCTGGTTTTTTTGGGTTTTTTTTTTAAATATTGACTTACTTTTGCTTTATTTTTTACGATAGAGTCCGTGAAAAATGTGTCAAACGATATTTCAACTTACTTCACAAAGCAGAAGTATATATATGTCTTGTTCTTTTTCTATTGTAAAGCATTGAAGTTACACAATTGCCGCATTGAATCCTGGCTGGTGGAGCATTTTGGGGTCAACAACAGTAAGTGGTTCGAACACATTTTATTGGACCACATTCATGTATACATGATTTACTTCAGAAGCTCTGTATGTTTTATACAAAAGAGATCGATACTCACAAAAATAAATGAAGATGAAGGACTTCGGCATATCGTACACTTCGTAATAGATCCTTAGCGGAACCAAGTTAACAACACCTTTCCACGGAGAACATGCTGTATGATGCATTCACTTTCACGCCGACTCGGGTACGGGAAGTAAGTCCAAAAATAAATAAGACATCGCTATCATTACCAGTCATAAGAGTATTATAACAGTGCGAAGCACATGCCGGATAGTACAAATTCCCGATTTCCGGCAAATATAAAAAAACACCAATTTGCATAGCCTCAAACTCACTGCGGGCGAGCCATTACCAAACAATGAGAATTGTATTCGAAATCTGAGAAGATTCAACCTCCCTAAACATTCCCCGAAATTGTTCAGAAAAGAAATATAGCTTCAGAAAAAAGCGGCTAAAAACAATGGACAGTGGATACAAAAGTGGATATATTTTGTTTCAAATATTTTTAACCTCTATACACTATTTTCTATCGAAATTTTGTAGAAAGTGGACAAATATTTTTGTTAGGGAGCCGTGATACACATTCGCTGGAAAAAGGGGAAACAAATATTTGGAGAGCAAGCTGCACCGCCCACTTAATAAGCGCTTTTTGTTTTTGGTTTGGCAACCGCCTCTGTTAATACACTATTAACAGTTAAACCTGTCTTGTTCTTACTAGCCACTGAAGAGTGCAACCGAACTTTGTCCAAATTCCGGTTAAGAAATCAAACATGTCAACACAAGCGTATTCTGCAAAACAAGTTTAAAAACCATTTGTGGTACTTTTCTGGGCAAAGGCTAAAACCACCCAGACCTCAAAGAGTGCTATACAAGGCGGCACACACTCCTCGAACATGTGTCACACTCTTTATTATGGAAAGAAAGTGATTTCCTAGTTGCTGAATGAAATGAAAGGCAGCCTGTGATGGTGCTACTAAGTTCCCAAAGAATTTTCCAGACACGTGGTATGCTTTAGGAACAAGACAGTACTGGCGAGGCCTGGTCAAGTTATTAGACTCATCCGATAGCAGCTGAGATCAGCCACAGCTGTAAGTTGTCTGTTCAAGCAAAAGCTTGATCAAATAGCCGCAAACGTAATAAAAAAGTGGACGAGTCATCAATTATGTTAGACCTGATGCCTGATGCCAGCTCAGAAATATCCTCTAGTGGCGGGAAGTTATCAATTGGAAGACATTCCACAATGTCTGAAATTAAACTTTCATGGTGCGAAGATATTTGCAACTCCTTTAGGAGGTCAGCCTTGTAATCCTGTACGTTTTCATTGTCCGACAGTTTGAACAGTTTCTTTATCCAGAGGTGTTAGTCCTGAGGTGAACTGATGTACATTTGGGTTTGTGTTGCAGCCCAGCATTTGTCGTATATAGCTCCAAAAACGTACTCAAGTGTGTCTTGCTGCAGGCGTCGTGTAAGTAAGAACTTAAAGTCATGGCTGCTTGAAAGCCCATCCCAGAGCATGAGGACACTTTTTATAGTAACTTGCCACCCAATGATGGCTTATGGCTGCCTCCTACTTTGGAACTGCCATGCTGAAATCCATACGAGTTATTGGTGGAGAAAATAAAATATTTCAGATTCTCCCTTCAGAATGGCATGACGCAAATTCTGCCCTGTCTTCTTGAATTTTTCAGCTATTAAGACAATCAAAAAGTATGCACATCCTATCACAGAAATAGGCTGTAGCCATGGCTGCCTCAGGAAGTTCCTTGGCATAAACAAGGGATAGGATTGCAAGAAAGAGTGAGGCACTCAGTACCTGTGGGGCACAATTTTCTTCCATGTTACAGAAAGGTTCTTGAAAAAATATCTCTCAGTAAGCTTCGGAGTCAATTGCCAGCTCATCTCATGGATAGAACAATAAAGTTCAACAATAAAAGACCACTCAATGACCTCATTTCCAATGCAAAGTTTGTGGGCTTGGAGATTGCTCTTGGTTGTTTTGGGAAGGTGCGGAACATCAAAGACAAAGTAAACATGTTCGTTGTCAACTTCAAAAAATGGCTTATCACCACATACACCAAGCTTACGTTTGAAGCCCCCTAACCACAGACCACAGCCTTTACTGTGAAGCCAACAGTCTTAAAGGGGCGATGCACTGATATTTGTATTTTGCACAAATACCGCTTAGAACGAATCCCTGACGTTAATGATCTGTGAAATACC